CATTGCATACTGTCCACCTTGGGAAAGAGGTGACCTTGGGTATGGCTCTCTGTAGCATCATAGGCAATCCCTAAAGGAACAATCAAGGGTTGAGGGCTGAGGGTTGAGGGCTTTCTGTTGGCAACACTTCTAGAAGTTGCAGATGTAAGACACTTGTTCTTGAAGAGAGTATTTCACTATGGTATCTTCACACAACCTAACAGGATGAAGTCTTAGATCATTGATATGGCTCACAATTCCAAACAGATCCAACCTACCCTTTCAGATTTATTCTTCATTATCAGCCTATCATCTGTGAGTATGAACTCCCTTTCCTTTGTGTGCCTCCATGCCATTGAAAATGCACACTATCTATCCTCTGTCCCTTGAAGACTTCACTCTCTGGTGCATACCATCTATTCCTTGAGTCTGCATACGTGCTTCTTCTGTTTTTATGCTATTAGCATTTATACCAAATTATTATTATCTATTTACTTATGAACTCCAAGAAAAACAGTTTTTTCACATCATACATAAAATACTTAACATAGAATTAGACAAATAGCAAGGGTCCTAGAAACATTGAGTGACCAAATGAGTAACAAATGAGCAATGATTCACCAAGCCAAAGAGGAGCCAATATTACTTATTACTTTCATGAAACTGATAATCTTTCTAAATATACCAAATTTATTAAGTGCAAAAATCTAATAGACCTAATTTATACCAGTCCTGATATGTGAAATTGCATGGATTTGTAGAAAATATAAGTAAATCAGAGATGGATTTCCTGTCTTGGGGGCTCCTATGATGTATTTGAAGATGTAGGAAATGGAAAATATAAAAATTAAATAGAAATACATAAAATAGCATCTAATACAAAAGTATATGAGAAATTATGGGCATCCCACTTATTTTAACTGATATGCATCACACAAAGATATTTATGAGTTTTTTTTATGTGTGCAGAATTTGGGTGCCATCTTTCCACATAATAGTAGTTGACACATTAGTCAATTTCTCTGGAAGGTCTATATAATTCTATTTTGAACTTTAAGACTTAATACTAAGAGTGGTACATAATCTAATAGTACTTAGAGTGTCATTTTATTTGATGCCAAATTTAGTGAATTGGCTAATGTTTTCTTACATTCAACAATATTTTGATGAACATCCACTACATGGTAGGCTTGGGGTATAGTTATGCACAACACAGATAAGCTCCATCTGACCCACATGGAGTACACAGTCTTTTGGAAAAAGCAGACATGGAATGATCATATGAAAGAGATATGAGTGTGATGAAAGGGGTTGGGGGGAGAGAATTACTCTGTATGGCAGGAGCATCCAGCAGGACTTTCCTTGGGCTGAGTGAGGCTTCATATATAAGTTAGGGTTAGGGTCAGATTTTAAGAAAGATTAGATGTAGAGTGGAGTTTGCAGAGAAGACAGCAGAATGGGTTCCACATAGAAGGACGATATGGGAGGAAATACGTACATAAAGCCCATTTGTTGTATGGCTGTGGTATTGAGAAGAAAGCTAACTGCTGAGAGGTAGGGGAAGGGGAGACCTGTTGACCTTGATAATGAGAGCAGTCCTTTTTTCTTAAATGCCTTGGAGAGTGATGCTCTTAGATTTGTATTTGTGAATGATCACTCTGGAAGCAGTGTGGGGATGGGTAGTGAGGGTCAAGGGTCACAGAGTCCAGGTAGCTAAGGCTGGCAGGGCCTATGAACAATATAAGGTTTCGGCAATGAAGCTGGAGAGAAGTGTCTGGGAGCAAATCAGCAGAACGAATGGTGCTGGGAGGTTCTCTATGCTGCAGCCAGGAGCGTGATGGCGGGTGAAGGTGAGGGAGGAACAAGGGACTTGCTTACTGGAAACATCAAGTTCCAAGAAGGTATTGCTCCTGCATACCTCTCTCTCCGCTTGATTAGGGCAGTGTGAAAGGGCTTGGCTCTGCCCCTTTCACACACTGGCCTTGGTGCAGGAATATAGCCCTGGAAAGGTAGGACAGGAGCTGCAGGGTTGAGAAGCAGCCCCAGGTAAGCAGGCAGAAGGCACAGAGAGGTTCTTGGGGTCTGTGCCCACAGGAAGAGTCCCTGACTAGGACAGCGTGTATGTATACGTACACACACACACACACACACACACAATTACACATGAACAAGCCCTAAGATCTGGAATTCGTCTGATATTCATAGGATGAACTCAATATTTTAGGCTGGTCTGACATTCAGAGTGAGGCCATTTTATTCTCTTCTTCAGCGTAAACAATTTCTATAACATCAGACAAGGTCACACTGAGACAATATACAATGGAACAGAAAAAGGACCCTTGATACTTTTGCATAAGCACAGACAAAACCACATTCACTGTGCCGCTGACAGAACATCCCAACACAGTTGCCCTCCTTTCCTAGGAGCATCCAGTCTGAATTGCGTTCCCTCAGACTCTCCCACCAACCCAAAACCAAATCATACAAAACACCCTCATCCTGAGATACCACATGATTTTCCATGTTGTGTGCAAAGAATAAAAAATCCAACTTCTTCAACTGCACACGTGTGTTTTGGGGGGAAATTAGAAATGGATAAACTAGCAATGGCCTATCTATATGGGATACTTTGGCATTTTAGCACCATAGAATGGCACACCATGGGCACACAACGAACATTGGTTACATAAACGAGCAAGCATTTACAGAAATGAAGAAAAGACCCCTGCAGTAATTCTCCTACTTAAAATCTTTTCTGACTAGTTTCTTGGTGTCAAATTCTGATCTCATTTTGCATTGAAAGAAAAAAAAACCTGGGGGTGGGGGAATTAAAACAAAAACAAAAACAAAAGAACAAACCCCAGAGGATGTATGAGTAATACAGCTTCAGTCACGACACTCTAATTTTTTGTACTTTGATTTTGCTCAGGGAACTTTTAGCATTACTCATCTTTAATTACCTTAATTTCATGCTTAACCCAGGCACAGAAGAGATCTGTTTGTAATTTCAGATGAGAGAAAATGAAATTCCCCTCAGCAAAGTCAAATTTTAAAATTCAAGAGGAAGAACAATATGCTGGAATACTCTCTCTCTCTCTCTCTCTCTCTC